TACGAATGTTTGCAAAATCGTGCACCTAATAACCAGTCGAGCTCAGATCTTAATCACTAGTAAAACACTAGAACATAACATTCACAACAAATGGGTGCTGCAAGAAATGATGCGTGCTGCTGGAAATCATTACTGGTAATGAAAACAGCAGCTGGTTGCTGGAAATGCTGCATTAGCCTATCATATAATCAATGAATCTCTGTTAAAACATAATTCACCATAAACTACCCATTTTACAAGGTAAAAGTCATTGCTTCTTCACATAAATCAAAATTTGATGCTTTATCTAATGTCTATGAAAATTTCTAAATAGGGAGAAGACGTAAAATTAACATGTGTCCAAATTTCATGCAAGAATGAAACCAAGCAAATTTTCATTTCAATTATCAATGGACATAGTAAGAGCTCATCGGTGGACATGAACAAAAAAATAATAATAATAAAACTGCATCTAGAAAACTTCACCTGATCATTAGTCTTCATAATAACCGGGCTTCGTATAATAGAAACCTAAATCATTGAGTTGGTCCGTGCATCCTGTAAAATTCGTCGAATAATGGGTCACTAAGATCTATTGGAGTTGATTCGTCATTGTTCGACGGTGATGTCCTGCATAAACATCAAACAGAAGCACATAAGAACTTTACCTATTCAAATTTTAGGTCTTATTATAAATAGTGTTAACATCTTACGGTGTGTTCAAATTTCTTGGGCATTGTCTTCTATCATGACCAATGTGTCCACACTCCCGACAGTGTCTAATCCCTCGCTTCATTGCCTTTTCCTTTGCTCCCGTTACTCGTTTCGACCCTCCATTGCACCTTACTCTCTTAGGGTCTTTCATATATTGTGTTTGAGAGCTGGACCCTCCAACTTCGTTATTACTTGGTCCATCCTTCAACAACTTCAACTTCACCTGCAAACTTTTTAGAGTCTCTGACAGTAGCTCACATCCTTCTTCACACATTAATGCATCCTCAACCACATCTGAAGCAAGTCGGGACATTGTACTCCGCTTTATTAAAAGACCAGGATCTGCAGAGTCTTTAATTTCGTTGCCATTTGCATCTGACACCAATCCAAATTTCGCAGTTTTCTTCCACCTCTTCAAAATGTATTTATCGGGCATATATTCAATCTGGTCCCTTCTGAACAATGCTAGGATGTGCTTGCAAATAATTCCAACAAATTCAAATCTTTTGCAGCTACACGATGCGTGGTCAGA